AAAGATTTCCCCTTTTTTCAAAAGACCAAAGCAACTGCTGAGAAGGATTTAAACTCCGGCTGTCCAATGTTATTGTCCAAATCAAACAAATCAATTTCTAAAGATTGGGGAGTCTTGGTTTTTAATAGGCTTATCCAATTATTTATCACTGTTTCACTGGGAGTTGGGGGGCATATTATTATTATTCCTCTATCCTTTGCATTCTCAAGGCTATTGACAGTAAAAAAAAAAAAAGCAGTAAATAATTTCCTCAGAATCTCCTTTAATGTAAGCTCCTCAGGCTACATCTATATGTTTTTGAAGGGGAGCATAGCAAATTTAACTAACATTCAACCAATGAAGCTGATAGTGTATAATAGATGTTTGCTTGTACAAATCATATACTTGTTTGTGAACCATGTTTGAGTTTGGATTCCACCCATTTAAAATAATTGTTTAAGTAGACCATGGATAGTGAATCTGCAAATCCCACCCAATCAGTATTTATAATCCCTGCTGTTTTCTCATGAAGTGTTAGCATATTTATATAGCCCAGGCTCATGGGTAAGCATGCTAATAAATACAATTGTGATCACATCATGTACTCTGCGTCCAAAATAAATAATTCTATTACTTAACATGATGGATGGTTCTTCTAATATGCTAAATTGTCGCTGTAGATCCCATAATAAATTAAGCCACAATTGCAAATCTAGAGCAGATGTACAAATCTTGATTGCTATATATTTCTCCTCCTGAGAAACTCCCAAAAGATATAAAATGACAAGTAGCAATGGCAAAAATACAACTATTACTACTAATAAATAAAATTCTTTAAAATGCAAACATCACATTTTTTATTTGAGCCTTTATGGTCTACAACAGAAAATATATTAAAGCTGAAAGATACTGAACAGTACGGAAAGCAATGCTTTCCATAGAGATCCTATAATATATACACCTGGGTTTAGTATTCCACCTATCAAAAATATTTACTGCAAACTACCTGTTAGTTACAGGGTTACCAAGGGTAGGAACAAGAGCAATAACCATAAATATATATGTACATATAATGGTAGAAACAGCTATGGCTTCTATTAAAATCTTTTAATAGCATGTGTGTATGTGTACAAAAACAAGCTCACTTAAGGCCATTCAAATCAGGCTTAATCTTGCTTAATATACTGAGCTGGGTTGCATATTATTCTTCCTGAATTAGGTTGCTATGAATACCTAAAAGCACCTGAATGAATAAGCACCTAAAATAGTACTATTTCAAAAATGCTGTTAGCAGCTCTTCACCAGTATCACAGATATTTTTTAAAAAAACATACCTAACAAAATATGTTCAACCGAAACTAGTTATATGGATACCTGTCAAGTGGACACTTATTTGTTTAAAGAATAATCTTAAAAAAGAGGTAGAAACTACTAAAAAGATGAACTGCATCAGAATAAGAATTTTAAATATGCCAAATTCATTTTTTTTAACTTTTCGCATATATAGCACTATCAGGGGTAGGTTCTAACATTTTTTACTACTGGTTCTGTGGGCATGGCTTATTTTGTGGGCGTGGTTTGATAGTCATGTGACAATTCTTTAGGATTTAGCAGAGGTACTGGTCTACCAGGCTTTTAACTGCTTGCAGAGCCGTACTGGTCTACCCATTTGTTTTTGGAGCGTTCCGGGCTACCTATTTGTTTTTGAAGCGCACTGGTCTACCACCACACTGCCTTTTACCGCTGATCAGCTGTAGGGCGGCCCTTTGAAGTGCCATGGCAAGAGTTTAAACAGTTGTTTTCCTTCTAGCCGATCAGCTGGGACTTGGGAGGAAGCCAATAGATTGGGGGTGGAGCCAGGCAGAGGTGGTATTTACCGGTTCTCCGAACTACTCAAAATTTCCACTACCAGTTCGCAAGAACCAGGGAGAACCAGTAGCAATCCACCACTGATCACTGTCTTACTACATTGTTACCCATCTAAATCCACTTTTTAATAATTTCAAATTCAATTTCAGCTGGATTTAAGCTCTGCTTTTGGTTTGATTTCTAAATGTTTTAGTATAGTCCAGACTAAAATATTAACAATTATATTTTATATTTCAATTCCTTGTGCTGTATGCTAAGTTGCTCATTAAACTGTCTTATCCTCCTATTGTATTTCAGCTATGATTAGCCATTTTCAAAACCTTCCCATTATAATACATAGCAAGTAACAGCAGAGATCAGGCCTTCACAAGTTGTGATCTTTTGGCTGAGGCATCAACTAGGTTTTCTTTTGTAGGATAACTTAAGGATAAGAAACCTAAAAGAGTTGTCTAGGAAATAAAAGTATAAATAATTGTGTAATAAATATGAAGCTCATTCAGAATCTGAAGCAGCACATTCCCACATACCGAGATATATCTATATATAAGTATATACATATACACACACATACACTTTTTAAAATTATTTTTTCTCATGGTTAACCATTGTCCAATCAATAATATTTAAAATCCTTTCCTTCAGGCAGAGTATTTGTTTTTTAGAGTACTAATTGGCAAGATGGTACAAACCAGCACAGTTAATTAACAGTTTATTATAGTTATCTGAAACAACTAAATAGCCGCAGGTTGTTTATCCCATCCCAGAGGATTCCTTCATAGAGGCTATTTCTGAACATAACTATTTATGGGCTAAAGAAAAGGAATAGAAAGTGAGAGCTCAACATTTCTCATATTTAAATTTCTATTACTTTTTAAAAGTATCTTCAGGTGGATTTGTTTTTCTCTTTGTGCATTTTCTGAAACACAGCACTATATTAACCTTAAAGACTAGATTTTCCCCTATTTTATCTTTAAAATGATAGGATTGTTTTAAATTCACTGAAAATTAATGAAGATAGGGTTTGTTTGTTAATGATTGCTGAGCACATTGTAAGCCGCCCTGAGTCTTCGGAGAAGGGCGGCATATAAATCAAATTAAAAAAAAAAAAAAAAATGATGATTTGTATTTAAAATACTTGAATGGTGCTTAACAAGAAAAAATTGTGTGGCTTAAGGTGAGGATGAAAGCTGCTTCATGACATTTTTTCCTTCAAAATCATTGCCCATAAAACCATAGAAAACATGCCTTATGTTCTCTAGATTGTTTTCAGCAGCAATTTCAACTGTATCTTTTTCATTGGAATGGGTTTTCTCTGAACCATTCTTTAACTGCCATATAATAAGACAAATTTATTTATTTATAAAATTTAGAGAAATGTGCATGATTGGGGATTTCCAATCTGTTTTGCCAATATGAACGTTTCAAATTTTGACAGTGTATCATTACAATGGCTGTGATGGGGGAATACTGATAGTCATAAAAATGACTCTCATTAAAGGAGATGTCTACAAGGAAATTATTAGTGTCCACACATGGGACTCCCAAGTTTAGGCCATGAACAGTGTTTTCAAACTGTTTCCACTTCAAACTTCTGTATCAGTGGTTCTCAACCTTTCTTCACTATAGATCCCCTTTAAATACCTTTTGTGGTCATGGATGATGGCCACGGACTCCCAAGACTTAACTCAAGATCTAAATCATAGCATTTCTTCAAGCCTTCTTTTACCCCATGATGACATAGTGCCACACCCCCCCAAGGCATCTGCAGACCAAGGTTGAGAACCATTGTTTTATGTTCCAAAGGTGCTTTTTTCAGGAGGCAACTGGACTTGTTTTTTCTTTTGAAGTCATTTCGCTTCTCATCCAAGAAGCTTCTTCACCTCTGACAGGATAAGGGGGTATGGAATGAGGAGGATAGTTGGGAATGGTCCTTTGGGACAACCATGACCTGGATGACTGAGAATCTCTACATTGTTCTATATTATTTTTAAAGGACCAACACTTTAGGAAGCTGTTTAGATTGGTTTCTCCTGAATTATTATCACTAGTTTTGAGTCTAATTATGGTAATTTTCCTGTAGAAGTAAGCTATATTGTTACAGTACTTATTTTTGAAACATACATTTTTAGCCTAGTTTGAAAGGCACTTGATATAATAAAATGTCGTTTGAGGTGATCTTTGGAAAATTGCCAATACATGCATACACACACACACACACAGAGAGAGAGAGAGGGGGGGGGGGAGAGAATCAAAACAGAATTCACAGCCAGCACGAATTCTACATTCTGCATCTGTATATGTGAGTGTGTGTAGCAAAGAGTTCTTCTTTACGCTTCAATCTTAATTTCATATACCGTATTTCTGGACTCCAGCTGTTGTGTCCTATTAAAATGAAGCTAAAAACAAATTTATCTGTATTTTAAGTTCTGAATTTGAATTTCTCATTTTGTTAGTGACATCTATGTTTTGACTAAAACATAGTTTTCCATGTGACATAGATATCCTGAAAGCAAGGGATTGGTTCTAGTGAAGAAAAGTAGGCCATAATAAGGCATTTGATTTGAATATCACACTTTACTATAATCTATGATTAGATTATATTGTTTGCTATACCAGAATTTGTGATCTTCTGAAAATTAATTCTATATGACCTTGTATACAATAGCTATGTTAATCTATGAAAACAAAAATTCAGAAGCAAACTGGTAGCACCTTTTCTAGTTAACAAATTTTAGTGAAAAACAAAAGCTTTCAGAAAATTTTCACCAAACTCCATCTGTTTTTTTTAAATTTGATCTTACAAATTTTTTAATGTCAACTTTTCTAATTGATTTCCTTGTTATGTAATTATAAACTACAGAATATTTAAAAGTTATATTAATTAAAGCGAATGTGAATAGTGATTTTCTGAATATTGCCTTTACTGACACATTATAAAAGCATATTATAATAGGGACAAATACAATCTATTTAATTGCTATAGGTTGTAATTCTAGTAGCATTGTTTGGTTTTTGAGCCAAACTGAACAAAAGTAGTGGGCCATGTAAATTTTTGTGTGCATGAGCTTAATAAATACTTCAGGTGTTCCAACAAGTTTATATTATAAAAAGAGACTTTGTTCAAACAAACAATCCTTGAAAAGAAGAAGATATCAGATTGGCCATGTGACCATTTAATAATAAATAGTGTTAGGTAATAGTGAAACAAAATATTCAGTGGAAAAACTTTAGCATAACAACTCAAATGCCAAAGGAAAGCAAAAATGATATTCATCAGTAAATGCATCATATCTACCTCAATGTTTTAGTGAATGCAATTTAAAAAAACATTGAAAAAATATTTTCAAGACACCAATTTAGATGACACTAAAGCCAGGAAGTATGAATTGCTGTTGTTCTTGATCTCAAATGCTTATTTCAATTTGTTATTTTTAATGCACTGTATTGTATGGTGATATGCATATGTATTTCAGTAACCATCACAACAGAATATTGACAATTCTACTGCTACTTTGCGCAGAAGGCATTTTTAATCCAGGAGAGGCTTTCATTAGCAGAATGATAATTATTGTTTTCCCCTTTTCCCTGAAGGCTTCTGTATCACTCCCAAGCTGTTTTGAAGGGGAACTTAATGAACTAGGTTAAATCTGGGGAAAAGGCAAAAAAGGCAGAAGGGAAGCACCAAAATCATTTATTTTCCTTTTCTGATAATAGGAACTTCAAAGGCGCTCTTGTCCACAGATGGATATAGACTGGATACAACCCCTTCAAAATTATGAGATGCCTTTTGAATGCTGAAAATTGTTATTAGACCACTATCTTTATTAAGTGATATACTATCTTTTCAATTTTTGTCTGAAGGATGGTCAATATTTGCTATGATTGCAGACTCTCCATATAATTCATCTACTGAGCATTAACTGTGAATGTTAATGTTCAAAAAATGCATCCAGTACATCTGCCGCAAAATCATGCAAACTAATTGACCAGTAGAAAATAAATAATCCTTTTGACATATGTATGTTATTTTAACAATGAATTAATTTACCTCTTCTCTTTTAGGACATTGATGACATTAGTAGACATTATTTCTAGCTTACAGTATCATCAGGTAAAATAGGTTTTATTTTCATATATAAAATTACCACATAAAAAAAAAAGTTAACAGAGGATAGCATGTACCAGTAGATACAGTGGTGGCATTATGGGGTCATAATATAATTCATTCCCATAAAAGAATATAAAAGATCACGTTCTCTTCTGGTTTTACCAGTTATATGTAACAGGCCTTATATATGCACCAGTCGGATTTAACACCTCTGCCTGCCAATTTCTGTCACTCTCAGCTTGAGAGACCAGTATTGTGCCTTTTACCTTAAAAAAAAATTTTTTTTTTGCTCATCAAACTGCAGAAATCTGAAGCTGATATTTTGTTTCAGAGCTTCTGTGGGTGAATGATATTTAACAACAGATGGTGTGATGTGTACTTTGGCACCTCTTAATCTCATTAAGAAGCCAACATCCTGGCTCTTTTCCTCAGGAAGTCTTATATTGGCACTGGAGTGTCATCGAATGCCAATGTCTACTAATACTGAAGAGTGGGATGAAACTGTACAATATGACTATAAAAAAATACCAAGGGATAGCTATTATTTTCTAATGGCTACAAAAGTCTTTTCTCAGATCAATTGCACAGAGTCTGCTCCACTTCTTCAATAAACAATCTAGTCATCTTGAGAGCTTTGGTTATAGCATAAGTGTTTTGGTAAAAAGGAAAAATAATATGCATGTTTTTGCCTTCATCTTCTTCAGGTGGATTTTTCATTGTCCTCTCCCGTTTTCTGCACACGGGAATATTTTTTGCAGGAAGACTTGAAACAACCAGGAGGCCATGTTATTGGCCATGAGAAACTGCAAGGAACTGAGCCTTGTACATTCTTCTCAAAGAAATTGAATATTGGATACCACCATGCTCGAGACAGAAAGTTAGTCTGTGATGATATTTTCAAGTTCTGTATTAAGAAAAAATTATTAAAATCATGTTTAGATTGCATTAAAAACACAGTTACAGCCACCAGAAATATTCTTTTCCTTAAACTGAAAGCACTGTCACTGTATCATTCTGTTAAAGTTTAACACAATTAACTACTGTAAATGTATTCTTTTCTCACCTACTATTAGAAATTGCATTTTTGTATAAAATTTTAAGGTCCTACTTTAGTGAAAAAGGAATATTTAGCCCTATTTGTATTGCTGCTTTCCTATGAAGAGCTTGAAGAGTTCCTTGCTTGATGCTTGGCATATATGAGCAACTGAGTTAGTTGTGACCTTCTTAATTTCATATATGTGGCTACTGATAGTTACTTTATGCACTTTGGCTTATGGTTTAACATATGCATATGGTTGAACATATATATCTCAAGCCCAATATTTAAAATTCATTTTAACATTTAAAGTTGGCATGGCTGCTGCTTACCTTTTCGTTAGCCATTGCGTGATACCACCAGAAGAGTCTAGTTGTGATGAAATAAGCAATGACAACATCTACAGTGTAATGCTCATGTCCTACCAGGATACAGATTATTCCAGCAACACTCATACACCAGCAAATCAAGTGATACCACCAAAAGTGACGAGGTGAATCTGTCAAAAAAAAAAAATCATATAAAACATGGGCAATCATATTCTATTCTGGGGACTACAGTTCAAAATTACAGTTATATTCAAGAGTCTTGCCAGGTGGAAGATACAAAGTGTTTATAATTTGGAAGAATGGTATAAGGAGGTATGGGATATTGCCATAAATGATAAATTGACTTGCAATATTAAAGTAAGGAGGGGCATAATGAAGGTAAACGATTTCAATGGAATCTGGAAACAGTTCCTAATATATGTGTTTTCTGGAGGAAGAGGGATACCACCACCAGAAGAAACTTTAAGATTCTGGAAGCAGGAATGATCCCGAGGGGTGGGGGAGCACTTGTTGATTGTTTGTATTCTGTATATTGTTATATATTATATATTATGTTTCATGTATGTTATGTATGTTAATTTTTTTTTATGTTAATAATAAAAAATATGGAAAAAAAAAAGAGTCTTGCCAGGTGACTGGAGAAGGACAAATGGTCCTGCTATCTTCAATACTGGGAAAAGGGAGACTAAGTAATTATAGGCACAAGCAAGTATGTATATGTATATGCCTAAATGCATATATATGTTCCCCTCCAAATTCTGAAATAGGTTATTAAGCAGAATGTTTTTGAGAATTTTGAAAAGAATCCATTGCTTGGCAGCAGCCAGCATGGTTTTATCAAGAAAAACATGGTAAAACAAACTGTTTTCCCTTTTTGATAGAATGACCAGTTTAGCTATCCAGAGGCATGCCAATAGATAAATTATACATGATTTCAGGAATGTAATCAACAAGGTCTTCCATGAAAATCTAATTGAAATGTCAATAGCTAGCTACAGAGCTGGTTGAACAAACATATCTAACAGGTGTACATTAGTGAGTGTCAAGTGGTTTACTGCAGAGTTTTGTACTATTCAAAGCACACTACTGGATGATAACATATATTTTAAGTGACTTAAACATAAAGGTATAAAGGACAGTATCAAGGTTCAAGAGGAATATGACAAGTTGCAACAATAGGTAGAAACCAACAAGATGAGTCCAGTAAATGGATAGGAAAAAACAAAGGTGTGAGCATAGGGTGGAAAGGACTACATTCGACAGTGGTATGCATGAAAAGGATCTAGGTGGATCACATGTCAAATATGAGTCAGCCTAGGATGTGAGGCAATTGCAAACAAAAAAAAAGTATGGGAGGGGATGGAATGGAATCCTAGGCTGTATCATTAGAATGATACAAGATTACAAGAAATCACTGTTCTTTTTACTCTGTATTGGGCAGACTGTACTTAGAATATCACATCCACTTCTGGGCACCACAGTTTAGAGGACATTGATACTCTGAAACATGTCCAAAAAGCAATTAAGATGATGAGGGCCTTGGAATGAAAAACTTATGAGGAATGATTATAAACTACACATATATTCAGGACTATAGTGATATGATTTTTAATTCTTAGTATATTCTTACAAATGTATGGTCTGCTTTTTTCCAGATCAACTAAATGTACATTCATTGGTTGCACGAGGAATTGACTAACTTATTGCCCAAGCCCGACATCATGGACTGAGAATGACTGGCCCAAAGTTACCCAGGACCAGTCATAGACTTTTAAAGGGAGAATACAACTCATAGTCTTCTGATTTCTAGCCTGGTACTGGCATTAAACATTTTTGTGAAAATATTTTTATTTTTGAAAAAAATACAAATATTGAAACTTACATTCTTTAATAAATAGGTAAGTGAGTGTTAAGATTACAGTGTGTCCACTGAATAGAAAATCTCCACATAAGATATGTGAGCCTGTTATAGACAGGCCACCTCCAGAAATTAGTTGCAGAATTCGCTGAACTTTAGCTTGAGAATCACCATTTAGCTAGAATTAAGTAAAAAAGGGGGGGAATTGTTATATTAAAGAGTACATTTGACATTTCAACACAAATTAAAATAAAAATAATAAAATGCATAAAAGTACACAAAATAATTTATAACATTTTATAGTATCTATGTGAAAATCAGCAAAGAGGTTCACAACAATTAAAAGCCAATGGAGCATCACTAATTTATTTATTTATTTTATTTTATATTGGATTTCTATACCGCCCTTCTCCCTAAGGACTCAGGGCGGTGTACAGCCAGATTAAAAAAACATGCAGAACAAATATTAAAAACAATTAAAAGATATATAAATTTGGCCCAATTAAAACTCATTTACCAATTAAAAACGTTTAAAACATTTAAAAACAGTTAAAAATTTCATCTTAAGCCATTATTATTATACGAAGCAAACCATTTGGATCCTTGGCAGACAAGTTTCAGTCCGGGATACAGTGTAGAAACTGTACTGGTCATACTTATGGATGATCTTTGGAGAAGCTGGGTTTGGGGAAAAGCAACCTTCTGGTACTCTTTGATCTCTTAAAGGCCTTCAGTCCATAGCATCCTTCTCTGGTGGGCTGGAATAAGGGGAGACATTGTCTTACAATGAATCTCCTCCTTTCTAAAAGATCAATTCCAATTGGTAGGGAAGGGGAAGTCTACTTGTAGAACTTTAATTTGTGGACTGCCTCAGAATTTTCACTCTGAACTGAGTTTTGTTTCCCTGTTCAGAAGTAATTTGTAATTTGGTGCTCCTCTTAATTCAGAGTTTCTTCTCACTAAGCAGATGACACCTGTGGTTAAGGCAGCTTTTGTACAGCATTTTGATTGTGGCTACTGATAGTTCAAGAGGCTCTTCTCACAGTCACTCATGCCCTAGTCACTTGCTATTTGAAATATTGTAATGAACTGCCCCTGAAGAACATTTAGAAGCTGCATCTTTTACATAAAATGGCATCCTAGACTGTGATGGATTTTTCCTGATATACCTGAGTGACTCTGCTGCTTCAAGAACTGTACTGGTTGACAATTAGCTTTCACATGCAATTCATTTTATTTTATTTATTTTATTTATTTTTATTTATTTTATTTGTCAAGCATATATAAGATAACAGGTAAAAGTATAAACATAATTTGAATACATGAAAAGAGTAAGAGTAAAAAGGAATATTAGGACAGGGATGGTAGGCACGCTGGTGCACTTATGCACACCCCTTACAGACCTCTTAGGAATGGGGTGAGGCCAACAGTAGACAGTATATGGTTAAAGTTTTGGGGTTTGGGAAAAAAACTACAGAGTCAGGTAGTGCATTCCAGGCATTGACCACTCTGATACTGAAGTCATATTTTCTGCAATCAAGTTTGGAACAGTTTATCTTGAGTTTGTATCTATTATTTGCTCATGTATTGTTGTGGTTGAAGCTGAAGTAGTCATTGACAAGTAGGACATTGTGGCAGATAATTTTATGTACTACGCTTAGGTCAGACCGAAGTCGGCGTAGTTCTAAATTGTTTAAGCCCAAAATTTGAAGTCTGGTGACATAAGGTATTTTATTGCGGATAGAGGAATGGAGAACTCATCTTGTAAAATATCTCTGGACTCTCTCAATTGTATTTATGTCCAACAGTGCAGTGCGGGTTATCAGCCCTTGCTTATCAATGGAGATCGAGTGGAGCAAGTGGCCAGTTTTAATTTCTTGGTGTTATCATAAAAGAGGACCTGACCTGGGGCACTCGCATTGCGGCACTGGTCAAAAGGGCCCAGCAGAGATTATACTACCTGAGACTTCTCAGGAAACAACTGAATGAAAAACTGCTGGTGACCTTCTACCGCTGCACCATAGAGAGTATTTTAACTTACTGCACCTGTGTATAGTTTGCCAATTGCACAGTGCACAGTGCACAGTGGCAGATAGGACAGCACTCCAGAGGGTTAACGTCACTGCCCAGAGGATCATTGGTTGCCCTCTCCCCACTTTGGAAGAGCTTTATAGCTCCAGCTGCCTTAAGAAGGTTCAAAACATTCTTAAAGATCCATCTCATCCTGGGCACCCTTTTTTTGAACTATTACCATCTGGCAGACGGTACAGGATAATAAAAACAAGGACAAATAGGCTGAAAGACAGCTTCTATCCCAAGGCAGTAACTATTGAATTTTACCGTAGTGCAATATGTAGTGCAATATTAATGCAATATCAGGGGTTTTCAATTCAATTGTATAGAATGTGAAGGATGTGTGTTTGTGTTTTATTTTTATAGTTATAATGTATACTGAAGATGGCATTTCATTTCGTTGTACAAGGTGCAATGACAATAAACTGAACTGAACTGAACAAACTAAACTAAACTAAACTAAACTAAACTAAACTAAACTAAACTAAGGTTCTACATGGTTCTGGCCCTAGTTATCTAAGACTGACTTCTCCTATATTCATTTGTCAATGTGACCAGACCTAATACAGTCAACTCCTTCCTGGTTATTATCTTTATGAAACTGCCATCTGAGAAGGCCCTGGAAGCTGGCTGATAGCTTTCCTTCTTTCCTTGAAACTCCCTCCAAGTGGAGATTTCAAGGCCTCACTGTCCCTTCTGAGCTGTCAAAATGTATGCTCCATCTTGTACAGGCAGAGGGGATGCTTTGATTGGAACTGGGATTTGTGAACACATGGCTTTTTCTTTCTCAATTTTTAATATTTTGATTTTGCCATTTTTAAAAAAATGTACATGGAGGTGTCATGTCTTTCTTGAAAACTTTCAAGATTGGGAAGCATACAAATAAAGTAGCATAATGATATCTATCTATCTATCTATCTATCTATCTATCTATCTATCTATAAATTTGATTTATATGCCGCCTTTCTCCGGAGACTCAGTGCGGTTTACAATGCGTTAAGCAATAGCCTTCATACTTTTGTATATATTTATACAAAGTCAGCTTACCTTTGGAGCACACTGAAAATGCATTCCAGGTACAGGTAAAGTGGTGACATACATGGTAATGCACCGATAGAGGTACAAAGTTCCCAATATAAAAAAGAACCTTCGTCCTACTATTGATCTGAAATATATATAAACACAAACATATTGAGGTAAGAATTCTAAGGCATAATGCTAGCAGTATACAACATGCCTATGAAAAAAGGTTGTTATAATGGCAGTTATAACACAATGGAATAAAATTTATATAAAAAAATGAAGAACCACTTCCTGCTCCAAAGTTACGTTTTGATTATATTAGTTTCAGAAGGGTGAGAAAAAAAAATCTAAAATAGTACTTTTCTTCTATATTTAGCTAGTGGCTATGAAAATCATAACATTGGACCTTTTTTGCACAACATAATTTTAGACATTACAGTAATATAAAACGATATCTGAGCATTTCATAGTAGAATTTTGGATTGTCAGAAGTTAGCAGCATGCATACTTAACATAGGCTTAGCTTTTAAATAATACAAAAAAAGAAAAACCTACTACATTTCTGATTTGCTACTCTGCTTTAATGGAGAAGGTCCTTGAATGAGCAATTTCAATAGTATTATGAGGTACCCTATCTCCCCAAAATATTGAGATGGGAATCAATTACCTTGCTTTAACCAATGAATTTGTTGGATAGAGTGAAGCTGGAAGGTATCTTTATTTAGGGACCATGACATAAGTATGCATGAACTATAATTAATAATAATAATAATAATAATAATAATAATAATAATAATAATAATAATTTATTATTATTATTATTATTATTATTATTATTATTATTATTATTATTATTTTATTTTATTTATATACCGCCCTTCTCCCGAAGAACTCGGGGCGGTGTACAGCCAAGATTAAAACATAAATATACAATATCGTAGTTAAAATTAATTAAAATCATTAAATAGTTTTGGCCAAATTTAAAACCCAATATTAAAACCCAATTTAAAATCATTCAGTTAGACAGCCCCACCTGTCGGAACAGTAGGGTCTTAAAGGCACAGCAAAAGACCCAGAGGTCAGAGATGTTACAAATATCCGGGGGCAATTCATTCCAAAGGGCAGGAGCTCCGACAGAGAAGGCTCTCCTCCAGGGTACCGCCAGCCGACATAACTTGGCCGACGGTACCCTGAGGAGTCCCTCTCTGTGGGAGCGAACTGGTCGGTGGGAGGCTGTTGGTGGCAGAAGGCGGTCCTGCAGATATCCTGGTCCTATGCCATGGAGCGCTTTAAAGGTGGTGACCAACACCTTGAATTGCACTCGGAAGACCACTGGGAGCCAGTGCAGCTCGCACAGGAGAGGTGTTACATGGGCATAACGAGGTGCGGCCATAATCACCCGCGTGGCCGCATTGAGTTATCCTCACTTTCTTTAAAGGTAACAGTAATAATGCTACTGAAAACTATATAGTAACAAATTCTACTGTAGTCAGCCAATGCAGCCTAAATCACATTTGGTTAATTCAAATAATCTGTACTCTCATAAGAATTCAATATATAAATACCATTACAGATCCTATTATTAATATATATCTTAATGTGGAAAAAAGAGTTATTTACAAAATATCGGTCAACAATAATTTTTTATTTCTAAACATATACTTGCATACATATCCATAATATTGTTCTATTTCAGGGTAAGCAAGTTATACAAAATGCAGAATGAAAGTAAGAAATATTAAAGCAAAGAAATTATAGACATGAGATAAGGACAAGAAATATAGATAAACCATTCAATACCCTATTAATATCTTTCTATTCTTTTAAACAATCCTTGTTTCCACCCTGTCCACAACTTGTTTCATACGTTTTCTTTTTTTTCTTTAAACTTCCTATTCTTTATTTTTTATTACCCCATCAACTTCAACAAGAACAATCCAATACATCCAGAGGCCTTCTCTGTCCCCCTGCTGGATTATATTTCCTCCTTCATATATTTTTCTGGCATTCAGTCCTAATTCATTATAAAACGAATCTACATCACAAGACCAAGGATTACCACAGTATTCCTTTCAAATTACTCATTTCTGTATTCCATTAAGCACCCATTCATTCTTTTTTATAGATTTTATTAACATTTTCACGTAGAATAAAAACTAACAAGAACTAATACCGGTATTTAGAATGAAAAAAAGGAAAAATTTAAAATAAAAGAAAAAAGCAAAAGTAGAGGCACAGAAATTAAAGAAAAGAAAAAATTATAAAGAAGTGACTTCCAATTTTCTTTTACAGCAGTTATAAATATAATATAACCTCTTACTCTAAGGTTACAGCATTGTATAAATTTAATCATAATCTATTATTTTTATTCTAATCAAAATCATGTATGATTCATAATATCATTTTTTCTATTTTCCATAAAAAGTCAATAAGGGGTTAGCAGTAAATTTAGACAATGTCCTAGCTCTAATTAAAGCAGTCAATTTGTCCATTTCAACAAATTCCATCATTTTCACTATCCATTTCATATACATTTTGGGTAAAGACAAATATTTTCACATATAATAGCTCACTGCAATCGTCATATATAAAAATGAAACTCCATATTTTTTTCTAGCTTCTTATCCATCCAAAGTCTCTCATTTCAATGATATATGACCTCTCCTTGTTTTCACATACACTTAGATCTCTTGTTCCCATTGCATCCATGTTTCTATGAAATACCCAGTTTTAATACTGATATAACAAAGTGAGGTCTATAGTGTTATTTCTGCATTCTTTTAACAAATATTCATTTCTCATAACAGATCACAAATTATCTACTCCGTTTCTGCCAACATTTCACCATCTTATCATTTCTTCACTCATTTTCCATCTTATTTACTAGGAAACACAAATTCATTTTTCTGTTCTACTTTTTTGCCAATTATGCGTAACTCATAATTGCTCGTTGAAATCTTCCTTGGCAAATATAATTATATTCATCTTCCGTGCATTAATGTTTAGAGCTATGCTCCTTGTTGCATCATACAGTCTAACATTCATGACAAATCATCTGTTTACAGTTAAAACAATACAGCATAATCTACATACAAAAGTACACGCACATCCATACATCCAAACAACATACCTCAAATTACCCTACAAACATTTCTTATATGTCTACACATAAAGGCCAACACACATCCAATAAACATTCCATGACACATCCAATAAACATTCCACTTATATTGTTCTTATGGTGTGGTGGCACAGTGGCTAGAATACAGTATTACAGGCTAACTGAGCTCACTACCAGGAGTTTGATTCTGACCAGCTCAAAGTTGACACAAGCTTCCATCCTTCTAAGATCAGTAGAATGAAGACCCAGATTGTTGGGGATAATACAGTATGCTGACTCTGTGAACTACTTAGACAGGACTATAAAGTACTATGAAGCGTTATATAAGTCTAAGTGCTATTGCTATGGTAATCAGCAATCAACATTCATTCCATATTCATGCAAAACATTCAGTATTTCAAGCCTACTCATTATTATATGCTTTCTCTAAATAAACAAACCTATGAAAAACTTTTTCAAATGTACATATTTCTCAATGAACAACTTGAGAGCAAAAATGTTGCTTGCATATATCTTTCTGCCACAAAGTCATACTGCGCTTGTCAAATGTTATTGTCACCTCTTGTAACTCAATCAAAACATTACCAAAGTCATTACTTTAAAAAATGTGTTTTGCATTTATTTTTACTTTGTACAAGGAGAAAAGTAATGGCATTCTTTCCATCATCAAGCATAGATGCAGTTTTCATGTTTGATAAATAACTGACAAAATGATTCCTTAAGCAAACCACACCCATATTTTAACCTTATTCCAGTTATAGCATATGCCCAGGGTTATTGAAATTCAGGTGGCATACTAGTTTAAATCATCACCACCACCACCACCATCATTGTATTTATATCTATATTTTCACCACTGCCATTTTCAACATACTCCCAGCATTTGTGCTATGCTTTTCATCAAATATTTTGGAACAAACTTTTATATAATTTGCCTCAATCCCTCTCTTTAACATACTTATTTTTTTCCATGCTGATCTATTCTACTTCTAGCATTACCCCATTTCAGTTTCATCTGAAATTATTTCATCATTTTTATTTTTCTCTTATTCTCATTTTTTGTAGCAATAACCATTTTTCATCCACAGCCTACGTTTCATTTTGTTATTCCACTAAGTCACCTCCCGATTTTCACTCTCTTCTCTTTTACTTCTTATCTTTCCAAAATGATCTATTTCTTGGTCGTTAAGCTAGCCACTAAGTTGTCAAGCAAACCACATAGTCATAAGCTTGAACTATTTTATCCAGTGGGCATTTTTACTATTAAATAGCATAAAATGATGCAAAACACCATCACAAGACCATCACAAGACTGTAAGGTTGTAAATGCAAATAGGCTGCCCAGCACTCACAAATGATCACATGACCACAGGGGTGATGCTGCAGTCATAACTTCAAGGATGGTTTTTTAAAAAAAATTCTGTGTAGTTTAGAACAGTCCTAAATCAAGGACTACCTGTAGATCAGTTTCATTCAGATCTATTACAATCTTCCCCTTTCTCTTAGTTTCACATACCCACAATATATCCTTTTATTTTCATCTGCTAATTCTTTTCTTCATGCCTATTATCATTTTTTTACATTCCAAGTCACAAGTCACTATATGCCATAATCATCATAAATATGATACTAGATAGATATTGATCTCTGCCATTCATCATGGCTTCTACCAATTAAGACTTTATTTTATATGCTTATATCTATATACATTTTTACATCATACAAGTAAATAAATAAATAAAATAGGCTAAATTCCCAAACTTACTTTGATAAGCACAGTTTCAGCACATTCTATCCAACATTCCACCAATAGAAGCAAACCCCAGTTTTATCCTAATCTGTTAATCTTATTCTGTGCAAATTACAATTCATAAACTACAAATTACCTAGCCAGTTAGCATATATTATCCACATCTCTCCAACTTGAAGCAGTGGTAAAATTCAATTTTTTTTTACTACTGGTTCTGTGGGCGTGGCTTGGTGGGCATGGTGTGGCTTGATGGGCGTGGCAGGGGAAGGATACTGCAAAATCCCCATTCCCTCCCTACTCATGGGGGAAGGTATTGCAAAATCTCCATTCCCACGCCACTCTGGGGCCAGTCAGAGGTGGTATTTGTCGGTTCTCCGAACTACTCAAAATTTCCACTACCGGTTCTCCAAAACCTGTCAGAACCTGCTGGATTTCACCCCTGACTTGAAGGTATTTGCTATATTTTGACATTCAGAATGCAGATTCTTTATTTCTACAATTGCATTATTGTAATTGCAAAAATCTTTATTAGCATCTCAAATCTATTGATTTTGTAGATCATTGTATACAGTGCATTTTAAAACATCTAAAGTTCTCTGTTTCTATAATAAGAAAAAATAAAAGCAAAAAACCTACTTACTTGTATTTAAGAAACAGCCATTGGATTATCCATATTCCAACAAGGATAATTCCATTTATTTCTGATACAGAAAAAGCCCATTCCACGCGATCAATATAATCAAAAAATTTATCTGGCAACGGAGGACTGAGCTCCTTGGGAGGTACCCTCTCATGTACCACTGTGATCATGACAGTTGTTAAAACTAAATTGAAGACAGCATATACAAAGGCAATGCCCGTTTTCCACCATTCCAAAGGAAACTTGTTTCTAGATTCAGTGGGCATGGAAATTTGTATGTATTCTGGATAATTTTTAGCACCTTTTCGCAAACCATTGGATAAACTCTTTGGTTTGTTGCTGCCATTCTTGTTTTCCTCGCTAACAGTCAGAGCAGGTCGCACATAACCATTGGAAGTTTCATTGGTCTGGCCTTCCATATGTTCTTCAAGTTTTGCTGTCTCTATGGTATCCATCAGGTTTAATATGTGTGATTAATGGATTCTAGGTTAATTTCCAAAAATATCTTCCACTTCTTTTTTTAAAGTCTTCCTCATTCACTTTCGCCCACTTTTATTCTTTTAACAAAGCATACAGAAACTGTAGGTCCCACTTTGAGCTACAGCTTTGGTTCTTCGGTAGATTTTTCTTTTAAGGATCATCAACATGCTACCTGAAATTACATTTAGGATACAATAATTAGCACTGTTAGACATACATATATCCACATATAGATCATTTTGCATTATAAAAGATATATAATAAAAAAGAAATATAATAAAAAGAACAGAGAATCATGAATTTAGGAGGATTCCTTAGTTCAATAACAGTTTACATAAAAGTTTAGACAACCTGGGTTTAATTCTCTTTGGAGTTACAGGCACAAATAAACCAAATAATATTTGATATGCTGAGCTAAAATGTGGCTTAAATGTTTTTGATCAAGCATGTTGTTTTTTTGTAAACTATAATTTAGGGCTTATTATTTGTGCACATGTAGCTAACTGTGGCTTAGTCAGTAAAGTACGGTATGATTAAACTTTGCCTTATTGTTTTATGTCAGGGGTGTCAAATCTGCGATCCATGAGCCGAATGCGTCACTCACTGGCCATGCCTACCCGTTTTAGCAAAGGGGAAAAAAGTCACGAAAAAAAAAGTATATTATGTGACAACAATGTGATGACATGAGTTTGACACCCGTTTTATGTGAACCAAGGCAACATATGTATTGCATTATTAGAGAGTTTGGACTCATCCTTTGGCCAAAAAAATATAAATCCCACCCTTCATCATTAGAAACACAGTCAGCTCTTGTACACTTCCTGCATTAGGATTGAACAAACAGAGGGGGGAAACTCATTAGATAAACAAAAGTAATCAACTATCATTTGTTGTTATTCTGTGGAATACAGAAAAGGTTTGGTTTTTTTAAAAAAAGAAGAGAGGCCAGTGGTGGGTTGCCCCCGGTTCGGACTGGTTCGCAAGAACCGGTAATAAAACTGTCAGGAGGCTCTGCCCATGGACCCGGACCAGTGGTGGGTTCCTCCCAGTTCGGTCCGGTTCGGCCAAGCCGGTAGCAGTGACGATATGATGTCACCGAACTGGTTCTACCCCCGGCCTCCCCCCACCCACGTTATTCTTACCTTTTATTTGGTCCCACCCCCAATCTATTGCTGCCTCCTGAGTCCCAGCTGATGACTAGAGGGAAAAAAACTGTTTAAACTCTTGCCGCGGGGCTTCAAAGGGCCGTCCTATAGCTGATCAGTGTTAAAAGCAAACAAATGAGTCGGGTCGAAAGTGCGAGGACTTGGTTGTAAGTGCGAGGACTTGGTCGTAAATGCGAGGACCTTCCAGAAATGACTCTGACCAGCTAGCCACGCCCACCTAGTCACATGACCTCCAAACCACACCCACAAAATAAGCCACGCCCACAGAACCGGTAGTAAAAAAATTTAGAACCCACCCCTGACCCGGACGTCATCAGGAAGCTTCTGCACATGCGTGCGGCCCCATTGCGAACCGGTAGTAAAGGTAATCTACCCACCCTTGAGAGAGGCGTATAGATTTGCACTTTCTTACGTGCTAAAATAATGTGTTTGTATAAATGGTAAAGCATGGTATAAGGAATACTTACAATGTTCCTTACAATATTTACTATATTAAATATCCCCCCTTAGATTTGGTTGAAGAATGCTCCAGCCTTCATGCTGGAGGGTGGGGGTGCAGAAATACCATGAACAATCTATAGTAAGCAAGCAGTAAAAGGAATATGGTCTGAATATTCTAGTCACTATGGCTTTACAATGCTTAAACTGACTCATATCTATTTTCATACCACTGTACATAAAATAATCAGCCAAAAGGATATCGCAAATACAAAAATAGGACAGTTACTTCAGTAATGGTAAATCTATGTTACAAATACTTTATGGAAAGCAAAATTCAATAAAAGTCTGGATGCCACAGAACAAGCTCAAATTAAAGCCAACTGAGAGAAAGTAGCTGTTTATACAATAGGATTCTATCAATGCTGATATTATCTCTGCGTGGGCGAATAGTCTCTGCAAAGAGTAAACTGACAATTTGAGGATCTTCATGGCTCCTGCTTGAATAGCAAGTGGAGACCATGATTAGAAGAGCCTTTGCTTAGCTTCATTGGTGTACCAATTACAACTTTACTTGGTTTAGAGGAACCATTTATAAATAACTCACACTCTCACTGCCACCAGGTTAGACTACTTGAATCTGCTGTACATGGGACTGCCCTTAAACATTACTTGGAAATGGCAATTAGTCTAGAAGAGGGATCCCCAACCTCCAGGCCGTAACCCGGTACCAGGCTGTGGCCCATTCAGAACTGGGCCACACAAGTGGCAGGTGAATATGCTAGTGTATGCAGCTCTACTTGTCCAAATGGAGCTGCGCACATGAGCACGCTCGCCTGCTGCTTGCGCAGAACCATCCCTTCTGCCAAGTCAAGGTTAGGGACTGCTGATCTAGAACACAACAACCTGCATGCTTACTGTTTCTTGGCATTGAGAATACATAACACAAATTCTGCAATCCTTGCACTGGTTGCCAATTGGTTTCTGGATACATTTAAAAGGCTGATGCTGACCGATAAGCCACTTTATGGCTTGGCATCTGGGTCAGCCTGCTCCAGGCAGAATCACCCTGAGCCACTAATTTCTGCAGGGAAACACTTGTAATCCCACACTTTTAGAAGGAAAGGTAAGGGCAAGGCTAAGAGGCATTGTTTTTCCATGGTAGTGCCAATGTTTTAGAATCCCTTCTTTATGGAGATCAGACTCGCCCTCTCTCAGCAGGCTTTCAGAAAAAACTAAAAATGGAAATCCAAAAGGAAAAGGGTGCATTCTCTTAATTTAAATGTTGTTCAAAATATTAAGAATGCTCAAAACATTGTGCCACCGTTTAAGTTTTTCATTGTTCTTGGGGTTTTTGTTATTATTTTTAATCATATCATGGATGCTTTCACTTCTGTATATTAGAATAACAGAGTTGGAATGGACCTTGGAGGTATTATGTTCTCTGTAAGATGTTGAAAGTCATCAGATTGTGATAGGGTTTAAGTTTAAATAAATAAATATGGAAATGACTACTGTTACTTTTAATTGAATTTGTTGTGTCCTTATATTGCTCAGTACAAAATGATTTTTGCAAGCCTCTTTATATTTGTTGGCTTAATATACATAGATAGCATTTTTAAAAAAGATGGTCAGGCATTAAAAAAAATGGAACACAATTGCATTGTGCTTTTGCTATAGACCATAGGCTATTTTAGGACAAATGACTGATCTCCAAGTACAGCTTTCAAGACATTGGAGAATACAATCAGATCAAGGCAGAGAGAAGCCTTACCTCAAACCAAGCACTTTGCTTTGTACTATAATCTATAAACATTAGCTATAAATCATTGTTTCAATTTACAAGAGAAAAACAGTAAATTGATACAACTAATGATTCATATAAACCATTATAATGGAGTGTACATTCAGGGATCAAGAAACACTGGATGAGATGCTAAAGGCTAGAAAGAGAGTGGATTTCTTTCATGGTGTAACTGCCCTCGTAATTCATGCTATACTTTGATACCCTCAACCTATATGCTTCTGGATAGGCTATCTGAACTGAGACATACATATGTACAAACCCATTAAAGGTAGTCCTTCATTAACAACAGCAATAGGGACTGGAATTGCTGTTACTAAACAATGCAGTCATAAATGTGATCATGCCACTTAATAATTGCAGTTCTGGCACTTCTGGTTGCTGTTAAGTGAATCCTACAAAGTTAAGCAAATCTCATCTAGTTGCCATTTGCAACCTCCTGTTGACTTCCCCATTGACTTTGCTTGTTGTAAGGGACAGTGAAGGTTGCAAATGGGCATCACATCACTTTGGGATACTGCAATGTCATAATTATATGCTAGTCACCGAGCACTCAGATCACAATCGTGTGACTGCAGGGCCTCTGTGATGGCTGCAGCTACAAGGACTGATTTCAAGTGTTAGTCAGCGCAATCGTAAGTTGAAACAGTCGCTGAATGAGTGGTCGTTAAACTAAACACTATTCCAGTGATGGTGAACCTATGGCATGTGTGCCAAAAGTGGTATGCAGCGTCCTCTCTGTGGGCACACAAGCCATCACCCCAGCTCAGCTCCGCTCCGCTGCACATGCGCGTGTCCTTCCCATCAGCCAGCTGGTCTTTGGGTCTCTGCCACGCATGTGCGGGAGGCGAGCGGATGTGCTGTGGGGGCGCATGCACAGGAATGGTGTGCATGCAGGGGCGTGCGCACATGAGCTGGGGTGGGAGGGAGCCTATAGGGGGGTAGGGCACATGTGGGGGGCTTTGCGTGCATGTGTGGGGGTGCATGCAAGAGTGCCGCATACCCACTGCATTTTGGGGGTTCATGCACAGACACACACGCATTCGCACACACACATGCACACTTTGGACACTCAGTCCGGAAAAGGTTCGCCATCACTGCACTATTCCATTCTGATGAAAGTAATGCTAGGCATGGCAGAAAAAGACATAATAATCCAAACAAATTTGTTGCATTAATATAGCTAAAAATATTGTTAACATAGTTTACACCAATGCGATCAGTATATACGTTCATATTTTTGTATTCTTGCACACTAATCATGCTTCTATCATACCATTTCAATATAAGTGAGAGCCAGCCTAATAGTGAATTTGGGCCAGTCCCTCTTTCTTGGCCTGCCTTGAATGATATAGAAACGGGAGGGGGGAATACAATAATGAATAATAATTTTGTTATCATTTGTTTTAAAAGTTCTCATCTCTTTTTGAGGGGGCTAACAACTTTACCCAACAGCACTTTTTAAAATCTTTCCTCTTCCCTCAGTCCATCCACTCTATCTTCATATATTTATTTTGTATCTTGATCTTTAGTCACTCTTTTTACATGATTAAACTACTACAATGAATTTCTTTTGTTGTACTCAATCAATGTTCAGTCAATACTCATTCATTCTTGACCCCACCTCTTGTTTTGTCAACACACTTTTTCAGTATCTAATTTCCATTGCATTCAACTTTCATGTTTCTGCTGACTTAATTCTCATTTCCATGTAGAAAAATGGGCAGAAACAAGCTGTTATATAGATTTTCACTTTTGACAAATATTCTTTTCTCACAATATATTATTCACTATCTTTTAAGCAAATATTTAGATAAAATCATTTACTTGTTCTGATTTATATATCACATGCAAACATATTATACAGGTTGCACACTAAACAAACCACATCGATATTTTAACATTGGTTGCTATACTATCTATACCTGGAGCTCTTCTATTTTTCAGGCATAAAACTCCATTACTCATTAATTGGTTTTTGGATGCTAACATACTGTATACGGCATGTTTCAAATTCTCTCTTTGACCTTCCACTATTATTCTCAAATGTATTAAAATACTCCTTCCAGATTTTCCTCAAGTTTTAAATTATTTCCTAACTTTTATTTCTTTTTTAAATTAATTTTGCATTGCTGGAGGTTCCTTCTTTAGACTTTTTAACTCCATTCCATTTTTTTCTAATTTTTTCTCAAAAGCACACTTTAACTGTTTTCTCTGCTTCTTTTAATCTTAACTGATCCTTGCTGTCACTGATTACTTTTTATCAGTTTCTTTCTGTCAATAAACCTAATATAGTATATTTCTATCATTTTCCTTTCTTATATCCAGTGTGCCATAAGCACAAACACAAGACTCAGTTTTACTCTAATCACATTCATGGTATTCTATGTAAAATAGGATCTCCACCTAGAGATTATCATTTAAATCAACATATTGTTTGGTGCATCCCATCAACTAGACAGTAAAAACAGAAAGCATATATTTTATATTAGAGTAAGCATAGCCTTACCTGGATGTTAATTTCAAAAGATGCTGCTGGTAATATTCTGCTCCATGACAGTTATTTTATTTCGTAAATCTTTTAGCACCTACACGAAACCATTGAAAGAGAAGTTGAAAGAGATGATAAGGGGATGCACTGATATAATATGCAGAAAAGCTTTACTGCTTTTCATTTAATATAGGTAAGGCAATTCATGTTTTGTACCATTGTCTGGGCAGGATAATTTAGCTGCATGAAGATTAAGACAGCTTTACTATTTGTGTTTTTTTTCCTCTTGTAAAAGTGATGCCTGTCATCTTCTAGAAAATACTGTATTCCTTCTAGGGCATTCTTATATCTAGTACAGTAACTAGAGGCCTAAAATAATTTCTATTGCTGAAACTTCCTTCTGTCTGTAACAATAAATTAGCTGGGACAAACATCCCTGCAGTTTTTATAAATGACCTGGTTATAAACTGGCCTACCTTGGAAGTGATTTGGGAACTTCAGTTAGATTAAAATCAGTCAAATGAGTTGCCAATTGGGATTGGTTGATACAGTCACATTATTCTACTGCTTAGCCATCTGTACAGGGTGAAAATCTGTTTCTAGGCCTTATTCAAAATACTAATACCAGTACGAACCTACAAAGCCTTAAACTCTGAGGCCTACAGCTCCTCCTTCCGTATTTACTGAAGATCTTCACTTAACATCTTCTCCAGATACCCTCAACTGATGAGGGCAACTGATGAGGCAAAGTGGGTAAGATACAAAAGAAAGGCCTTTTCAGAGGTGGCTGATCAAGTGGGAGCTCACCTGATGCCTACATTATTGTATTTTCACTGTCAAATTATCCTTTTTTTTCTCAATCATTGTAAGAACCATATAAGCATTTTAACAATTTAGTGTCTTATTACTATTTTATTATTTATTATTGTGATTTAATGTTGTATTTGTCCCATCACCATTGTTGTTCCTGTTGCCTGTTATAATGTTTTTATATTATATTTATGTAGTTTTACTTATAAAGTATTTTACTTTATTATGCAACAATATACAATAAATACATTAACAAATCTGTCTGTATATCTTGTCAGACAGATTCGAAAACATTCAGAGCAAAGAAAAATCTGAAGCTGAGGCCATCTAAGAAACAAACTGGCTTCATTTACCTTCTCTATATTTTGCTTTTTAAAGTATTGTTCAATTTAGATACCTTAATTCTTAACATTTTGTTGGTTTTATTGTTTGTTCAATTTTTAAAGTGTTTATAAAGGAACAGCATTCCAGTTACATACTGTTTCTGCTAAGGTGAAATCTTTTTTAAAAGAAAAACTCAGTAAAAGTAAACAGAAATGAGCAAGGAGGTTTTTCTAAGTGGCATTATCGGATCTATTAAGATAAACAATTACATATTAAAACAAAAAACATTATTCATGCCCAAGCAGAAATGCTGTTTGCTCCAGAACGTGCATTAAAAATATTTTGCCACGTATTTGTCTTGTATTTTTAACTATACTGAGAATCTGAATGTATGTTTAATATTTAGAATTTCTGATGATAGATATGAGTTGCTGCTTTAGAAAAATTCATTCAGTTTTTTTTCTTATAGTTTTAATAATTCAACCTTAAATGGCATTGAACTACTTCACTATTTCTTGGCTACAGGGATCAGCATTGCAATAGTACCTAATTGAAAAATGAGAAGAGTTAGATTAATCATAGTAATTAAAAGGAGGAGCATGAGCTGAGTAATATGTACTTTCATTTACTTCACCTAAAAAGTGAGTCAACAACCAGTGAATGGAATAGTTGTCACTCACATTTTTGTTAAAGGAGTGATGACTGAACTATTTTTAGGATGTGTCATTTATATTTATTATTGCTATGGGAGGTTATCAAGTCACATAGGAATATAGCACATTCCTATAAATTTCACAACAGGTAACATTCATTGCCAAGCACCTGCATTAATCACTTTATAAATAGATCAAAAAGAGGTACTATATGCTAGTACAGAGTACTTCTTAAGTGACACTATTGTCCATTAAATGTGGCAGGAGGGGACCAGATACAAACATTCTCTTCTCCAGCTATTTTTAAGAATAGAAGCTGCATCTTCATTGTTAATATTTTTTAAAATTGTTAGAATCTTGGTTCTTTAAGCAGATATTTGGGAACTAGGAATGTGTTAGATACAAAAGAAATATATGAGACTATTATTTAGACTTTATGAATTAATTGGAATGTTTACTATAACTTTATAGATTGCATTGCTATTTAGTCTGACATATGTTATATAATTCATTATAAACAGCATCAAATGACAAAGGTTGAGAAGAGCAAGAACAGGAACTTTGTATCTCCGTCAACACCCAAAGTGATAAAAGAGGAAGTAGAGAAGTAATATAGTAGTACAAGTATATTCATGAGGACATATTCCTTTTCTAGATCAGCAGCTGCCTTGCAAAGGGCCAGGTTGGATATACTGGTTCAGCAGTGGGACCAAGAAGATACCAAAGGTCAATTAGGGCAGCAGGATGCATGGAGTGCAGGGCCCAAAAGGACATAGTCATAGTTCCCCCCAACTCATGAATGGGGGTTGAAGCAGAGGTGGGTTTCAGCAGGTTCTGACCAGTTCTGGAGAACCAGTAGCGGAAATTTTGAGTAGTTCAGACAACCTGTAGTAAAAATTCTGACTGGTCCCGCCCCCATCTATTCTCTGCCTTCCAAGTCCCAGGAAATGGGGATTTTGCAGTAACCTTCCCCTGCCATGCCCCCCAAGCCATGCCACGCCTCCCAAGCCACACCCACAGAACCGGTAGTAACAAATTTTGAAATCCACCACTGGGTTGAAGCAGTGATGGGTTGCTACCGGTTCTATCAGGATCGGCGAACCGGGAGCGGAGGCAGGAGGCTCCGCCCACCCACGCCGGACACTTCTGCGCAGGCGCAGAAGCATCGTGCAAGCACGCGCACACGAGCAAACTGGTAGTGATGGGTTTTGCAATCCACTACTGGATTGAAGTGCCTCTGTGGTTGTAAGTCAGGTGAGCTGCCAAGTGCTGAAATTTTGATCATGTGATCGTGGGGATGCTGCAACAGCCATAATTTTGGGGACCAGTCATAAGTCATCTTATTGAGTGCTGTTGTAACTTCAAAAGATTTATGAATGGTCATTAGTTGAGGACTACCAGTAAACCACTTATATTCACCTGAATCAAGTGACATAAAAGTATCCATAATAAAATAAATTGCTTGTATACTCAAAGATTAGGGATTAGCAATTATTAACTAAATTATAAAAAGATAATAAAATAGATATAAATAATCAATCTGTTTACTGAATTATATAAGTAAAATCTATATTAGAAACTGTCTGAATACAGTAAAACAACTACAGTATAGTGGATCTGAAAAGGCATGTTTTATGCTAGAGTAGCCTTGTGAGATAGGCACCAACAAATAAATAAAATTCTACTCTGCAGCATAGCATGCAGCATGGAGAATGAATTAAGAACTGAAAAATAAACATATGAAAAAGAGTAAATAGTCATAAAGGATAAACTGAGAAAGTTGAAGTTGGATGCAGCTGATTACAAAATACAATCTTTGAAGCAGTGTATGTGCTTGGTAGAAGCATGGATGATTTATAAGAACAGAAAAGTATGGGATAGTAAATAATTTTGGTATAAACTAGATTGCTTTCTCATTTCTGTTCTGCTTTCTATACTTTGCACAACACTGCTGATCACAAAAGAAATACTGTAGTGTGTATTTTGTGTGTGTCTGGGTTTGTGGGGAGGTATGGGTATATATCAGTGATGAAATCCGAACCGGTTTGCTACTGGTTCGCTGGACGCGCATGCGCACTGTGCCAAATGCTCACTCTGCACACACACGCATATGGAGTATGCGCCAAAAGGAGGCTTGGGAAGGTAAGTAGAAGCGAGGAAGGATCGAGCTGTGATGCGCGATTTAGCTTTGCTAGAAAGCAGGATTTCCTGCTTTATAGCAAAGCTAAACCTCGCTGCACAGCTGATCATCAGAAATACTGGTTCGGAGGAACTGGTAGCTTTTTTTTTACTACCAGTTTGCCCGAACCAGTAGTTTTTATCACTACCAGTTCACCTGAACAGGAGCGAACCAGTAGCATTTCACCCCTGGTATATATGGATGTGTGTGCCTGGGTGTGTATATGTGTAAAACAGAGAGACAGACAGCAGTAGACAGATATATGAGGAAGAAATATATGAATAAACCTGAAGAGTGTGCTATACGTAACACTCAGTATTAACCCAGTACCAAGAAATAGGTTTGAGATTAAATCTGGATACTTCCACAAGCAGTTTTTCCTACTTGTAGTTGTAGCTGAAGTTATATATTTCCACCATCTACTTATTTTTTCCGGTAACAGGTATAGGAAAAGCAGAAAGACAAGAAAAAAATATTCTAAAAATACCCGTAAGTACTATAGTAAAACATTACAGATTATAAATTTATACTGATAAACTAAAATAATTTATTCAAATTTTGGGGGATTAAAATATATCAAATAAGTATTGTCTAAGAAAAATCATTCATTTTCCTACTGACCTTGTATTAGATGCTCTTTCTTCTGAATCCTATGCTTGTTGTGACTAACAAGTAACTCTTTTTAATGCCCCAGCTTCACAACTTCCCTTAAGGTGCATATACTCAGGAGTGGTCTGAGGTAATTCAGTTGGAATTGATTATGATGTCATCAGAATTCAGATGTATGGAATTTTTTATGTAGAACTATTGTTGCCTAGTCTGATTAGCAATTTTAAAAGTATCATCAATGAAGAAGTATTTCTCACCATTTTGTATTATTAATATGCTCTATTTAATTTTTGCCAAAATATTTCACAATACCAACTATGCCCTTTTTTAGCCTTTGTTCCTTGAATCTTTCATAGTAACACTAAACCAAGTGGAAAAAATAAAACTTTTAAAATTTCAGCTCTTCTGTTATATGTCACTGTTCAAAACTGCAGTTTATTGCAGAATAGAAATGCTTCAATTTAAGAAGCAGATTATTTCTATATAGAGGACCCCAAGTTTAGTTCTAAACTTTCTGAACAA